CTAAACGCTAAACTAAACATGAAATAATGAAGCCTAATATACTAAAACAGTGATATTGGAGGGCCAGATTCTGTCCACACCTTATTATCAAAGCATACTTTCTAGAAGAGCAGAAGAGCCCAGAATATGAACACAACAAGCTAAATTGCACTTTAAGCATTTTAGACACTTTAAACAAGTGTAACAATTATTTTCCCTCATAGTTTTTGCTGTTGCAGTGTGTACATACATTGCAATTTAAGAAAAGTAAAAATTATTTTTAATTTACCTTGAAAAAAGCTTGCGAAAAATACAGTTTTGTGAGAATCCTCCTCAAACTTCAGAATTTGGTAAAACATTTATCTGCATTTCAATCATTTCAAACCTGTCCAAATGTAGTCTTAATATTTTTTTCCCCCTGACTGAATAAGGACCAAAGCTTTACTGATGATTTTTATGAAGTTTTATTAGTGTCCGTTTACTCCAAGAAAACCAATGTAAGAGTTGAATAAAACAAAGTACAACAAATGTGCATTAAAGCCTAGTCCACAGATTCTCTCTACTGCATTATTATAACATACTCAGCAAATTTCACAAAATACTTGTTATAACTAACTGTAGTCAGCCTTTTTTGGGGGGTGCTGAACAAACTTATAAACAGTCTTTCCGTGAAAGAGTTCTGGCAAGCCGTGATGAAGCGTTAGTTCCTGTATCTTTTTGCCATTACCCCTTTAGCTGTGAATGCAGATTCAGATTCAAAATAAAAGTCCCACATGCAGAAGAGAAATATTGCGAACCTAATAAAACTTTCAACATACAAAGTATATTAAAAGCAATACAAAACAAACTAGAGATTATGTTATGTTACATCAGCCCTATCTAGAAAAGTGTCCACCAGCCAGCACTGCTACGTCCAGTGAATCCTGTGATCTCCATCAGTCCATCTGCTTACAAAATTGATGGAATTTCATCAATCTCTGACTTATAAGTCTCATTTGTGTGATGTCAAATTTACTTTGTTAATGTCTTGTATTTTTTTTTTAGACCGACCAAAAAGTGTCTTAGTGTCCATCAGTCCATCTGGAGAAATAGTGGAGGGAGATTCAGTGACTCTGAGCTGCAGCAGTGATGCAAACCCTCCTGCAGAAATCAGCTGGTTTAAAGGAGGAAGGTTTGTAGGATCTGGAAGAATCTACAGCATCTCAAACATCAGCTCTGATCACAGTGGAGAATACAAGTGCAAGTCCATCAATGAACATGGAAAGAAATACTCTGCTGCTGTGAATTTAAACGTCATGTGTGAGTTTATTAGATGGCTTTTATAATTTCAGCTCATATTAGTAATTTTTTTAATGTATTAGAGGTCTGTAATACTATGTTTATTGTTATTAGACCCTCCCAGGAGACAGTGAAGAATACAAGTGCAAGTCCAGAAATGAACATGGAGAGAAATACTCTGCTGCTGTGACTTTAAACGTCATGTGTGAGTTTATTAGATGGCTTTTATCATTTCAGCTCACATTAGTAATTTTTTAAATGTATAAGAGGTTTTTAATACTATGTTGATTGTTATTAGATCCTCCAAAGAATGTCTCAGTGTCCATAATTGGATCTGGAGAAATAGTGGAGGGAGATTCAGTGACTCTGAGCTGCAGCAGTGAT